AACGAACTAGTTGTCACGATATCAAGTGAAATAGAACAATAAGTATCAAGGTGATTCAGAACCTGGGGGTTGTTGCTTCTGTGTCAAAATACATATACTTGTACATTCTCCTTGAGCAACTTAAAAAGCTTAAAAAAAGGTACATGCCAATATCGAAACTTTAAATATATATATAAATATATATATATATATATATTTGCTTCCGCAAATTTACAGATCTAACATTGTTGGGCTGTTATTTATACGAATTTTATATATATATATATATATATATATATATCTGCATATGAGTAGTGACAACTGCAGATTATACCTTGTCCATCGGATTTCTTATGATTAAGAAATACCAGGCGTTAGAATATGTATAAAGTGCCTAGAAAATCAACCTAACGATGTTAGAGTAGATCTGTTTCTTAACTTCCTCCCCGATCGGGGCTGGAACCTGTACTTTTTATTTCTAACTTCTACGACAACACCGCCTAGCATTGCGCAGACACCGTATCCCCTCCTCTAACTATAGCTGATAAAAATCAGCTTTCGTTTCGGGAGGTGTTACCTTCTCGTAGGAATTAAACAAGGATATCTGAAACCATACACGAAGTATTCTTTCGGTGTACAGAAATGATCATCTACTGTTAGGTACAAAGTACAGGTTCCAGCCTGAAGTGGAAGTTAAGAAACCGATCTACTCTAACATCGTTAGGTTGATTTTCTAGGCACTTTATATATAAACCTCAGATCTGTGTACGGCCTTAAATCTGTGTCCGTTTCTCAAATCTGTGCCCCATCGTGACGTCAATTGCTAATCTATGTCCGTTAAAAAAGATACGGCCTCAAATCTGTGTCCTATATTCAAATTTGTTTTCAATCGTTACGTCATTCGCAAATCTATGTCCGTTAAAAAAAAGATACGGCCTCAGATCTGTGTCCTTTTCTTAAATCTCTTTCCAGTTTGTTTCGCCATGCGCAAATTTATGCCCGTCTAATAAGTACGGCCTTATAGGACTTTTGTTTTATTAAGTCATTTCCCATAATTTCAATGTTAAGTTGGGTTGTGTTCTCCATGTGTGTGCTTAAAAATTTTACATGCCTGTGTAATTATTGTATGATTTACATTTTATTGTAAAACTACAACATTTTTAAATTGTTTGCTTTTCTTTATCCCGTGTTTAATTGTTCTGTAGTAATTATCGTTACTTCCCTTTACTCATTACGTCTTGATTACAAATACGAAACATAAGTTAATAAACAACCTGAGACAAAATGACATCTTTTTACAAGCAACTAAAGATACATGTACGGCCTTCAACAATATTAAACCTATTCTGTATCGTAAGCTATAAACACATACACATATTTACAAACGTTTTGTTCAATGTTTCAATGTATAGGTACCACATAAAAATAACTAGGGTATAATTTATTGTTTTTAACAACGACATTTTGTGCCACTATCTTATTAAAAAAGTTTTTTTTCTGGTGAAACTATTCCAGTTTCGAATCTATGTATTTTTTAAAATCCAATGTGTACCATGACATCAACATTCAACAACCACAACATAATTCAGTGTACAAATTATTGGCATAACGAGCATACATGTTACTTTATTAAAGTGCCTTCAAGAATGAAACTACACATATGTTTTTTACTAAAAAAACAGTAAGGACTGAATATTTTTTTGCAACATCAACATACTTCATTTTGTCTCTCGTTCATATAGCTGTTTCATTGACATTCATACCACTTTATCTATGTTTTACCATGAATAACAAAAAAATGATTCTAAATCGCTAAAAATAAAATGTGTTTTATTTTTTTAATTGAAGAATTTGTGAATCACAATGGGACATAGATTTGAGACAATAAAAGACATAGATTTGATACAATAAAAGACATAGATTTGAGACAATAACGGACATAAATTTGGAACGTCTATGACGCAATATTAAAAAGGACATATATTTGCGGAAAGGACATAGATTTGAGGCTGGACATAGATTTGAGGCTTACATATATATATATATATATATATATATATAGGTACGTCTGAACCAGTGACAACTCTACGACAGATTTTATCCATCCATCGGATCACCAGTGATGGTGATACAAGGCTGACAACACATTCTGTATACATAATTTGTCTAAATAACAGCCCAACAATGTTAGATTTGTAAATTTGCGGAAGCAAAATTTTTGTTCTTCCCTGGCTGGGATTTGAACTCATATATTTATAATATATATATATATATATATATATATATATATATATATATATATATATATATATATATATATATATATATATATTGAAAAATTATAAATGTTCTCCACGCTGTGCATTAAATATGAAAAAAATAAAGCTGAAAATGCGCTAAATATTTATATTCAATATGAATATTAACATTTTGTCTATTAAGACATCAAATTGTTCAAAAATGTTCTCCATAGTTTCCTATCGGTTTCACTGTTTCACAGATATTCAGGGATATGGTTGCTAGCGACGTCGTCAGAGGGTAACGTCTATTAGCGATATCATTATTTAATCCTGAACGTCATAATATAGTACAACGTAGGTACTTAAAACGAAAGTGAAAGTACATAATTATAAAGAAAAGAAATCCCTTCCGAATTCTCATTTCATGTATTCAATTGAGGACGGTATTTCTTAATGAAATAATTTTCTTTATTAATTCTCTTTGGTTCCGTTGTATTATCTGAACACTGATAAAATGGAAAAATAAAGAAATTTGGATGATTTGATCCAGCGCATATATCAATATGTTCGCTAAGTGGGATTTTTCTTGTACTTGGGACTCGAATTTGCTGTCTATGTACTGTCATTCGTTTTCTAATGGTATTGCCGGTTTATCCAATATAATTTTCTTGACAACCACTGCAAGTAAGGATATACAGAAGGTTTTCCGATGAACATGTAAAAATGTTCTTGATTTTAAAAATGTGTCCGGATTTAAAAACGAATTTTGTTCCTTCGGATAAGTATGAACAAGATTCACAATTTGGTCGTCCACATTTTTGTACCTTTGGTTGACTTTTTTCAGTTTGGAATGTGGCGCGGGTCAACAACTTTTTCAGCGATTTCGGTTGCCGTTTGCTTTTAATTACTTTATATGAATTGAATAATTTCAACATCCTCTGATCGCTCTGTGAAATGGTAAATTATTATGTATAGTATTGAACGCTCCATTATTTCTGGGGTTGTGAGTTGAATTGTACGGTAAAACGTTTTTTTTTGAATGTGATTTAGTTTTCCTTAATTCCTGTAAGCTAAATGATTTTGCTCTGGTATTTTTTGGTCTTTTGGAAAATGTTGTTTGTGCTGTATTTAGACCCCTCTACCAAGAAATTGTTTTTGCATGCACACGTATAAAAATTGCGGTTTTTATCCAACGCAATCATAGGTTTGAACGTTGTTTCCAATTTAGACTTGTTTATATTTTTTCGTTTGGGCTTGTATTATATTTTGCCCTCGGGTTTATATGATCCGTTCATTTTATTTCGACTCTTCAAAATTAAAGAGTCTATCCTAAATTGAGGTAAATTATATGGCCTTCTAAAAACCGTTTAGATTCCTAACATCACTGAAGAGACATTAATTGTCGAAATCCGGATATGGTGAACTAATTTTTGCACTTTTTGTTTGCGGTATACCATCTTTTCCGCTAGTTTATTGTTTTCTGTTTGGTATTAAATTTTATAGTTAAGATCCATTTTGTTACATCTGGTGTTCCGTTTATTTTGGCAATTGTCAATGGCAGTCAGTAGGGTTTAAGAACATCCGTTGTTCGACCTGCTAGTCAAATGCGTTTTGTTGAAATATACTTTTTCACTTTTTTGGTTGGTCTTTTGGAAAATGTTGTTTGTGCTGTATTTAGACCCCTCTACCAAGAAATTTGTTTTGCATGCACACGTATAAAAATTGCGGTTTTTATCCAACGCAATCATAGGTTTGAACGTTGTTTTCAATTTAGACTTGTATATATACCCCTCTACCAAGAAATTTGTTTTACATGCACACGTATAAAAAATGCGGTTTTTATCCAACGCAATCATAGGTTTGAACGTTGTTTTCAATTTAGACTTGTTTATATTTTTTCGTTTAGGCTTGTATTATATTTGACTTCGGGTTTATATGATTCGTTCATCCTATTTTGACTCTTTAAAATTCAAGAGTCTAACCTAAATTGAGGTGAATTATATGGCCTTCCAAATACCGTTTCGATCCCTAACATCACTGAAGAGACATTAATTGTCGAAATCCGGATATGGTGTACTTATTTTTGCACCTTTTGTTTGCGGTATATCATCTTTTCCGCAAGTTTATTGTTTTCTGTTTGGTATTAAATTAATATTAAGATCAATTTTGTTACATCTGGTGATTAATTTATTTGGCAATCGCCAATGGAAGTCAGCAGGGTTTAAGAACATCCGTTGTTCGACCTGTTAGTCAAATGCGTTTTGTTAAAATATACTTTTTCACTTTTTTATATATATGTCTTATATATGTATATATACATATATTAGCACTTGAACTTCAAACATTTAGGATATTTAAGCATTTAGCAGCAACAAATTTGAAATAGTCCTTAAAATAACGATATATGTATCAATAATTCAAATGTATAATCATTATGAACAAACCAAAAAGTTTCAGTGTTATTATCCAATATATTTGATATTCAAAATTAATAATTAAATTACATGGAAACCTATTTTTTTATATTAATAAAAAGAAGCGACATAAATAGTTAACAAAATAAGTAAATATTTGATTTATATTACAAAAAAACTATTTTGTTTATCGATTATTGTTAAAATAAATGTTTATTAGAGGAAGTTTTATAATGACACTTTTGCATTTAAAAATATAAAAGGGAATATTTTTTATTGCCATTTTGTTATTCATAGAAGTTTACATTTTAATCATTTGTTAGTTGTTTGTTCATACATATTTCATATTGAATATATATATTTACAGATATCGGAACATAAATCGAAAGCAGTAAAAAGAAAAATTATCAAGTCAGCGTGAAGAAATATGTCGAAGGTAAATTGTTACAAACAATTAGATTCTTAAAAACAGTTTAATGTAGGAATCTTCTAAAATTGTTTTACACGAAGGGATAACTTTAATCACCTTGACATACTTTCCGTCTGGCAATGAGAATCGAAATGATTGGAGGGAAGCTTAGTATCGCAGGATGTATAAAAACACAGCATTGTCCTTTCGAAATAAGGACTTAATATCTCATACCTCGTGTTGAAAAATGCCACGCTCTATGAACGTTAAAGTACCCTTGTAACTATTCTTGGAGGGATTTGCATATTGCCTGGCGCAAAGCTTAATTTGTGTCGTTATCTTATATCCTTTCTTCGTAATGTTTCGCCTATTTTTAAAAAGCCTTATTCGATAATTATCGATCATACACTAGCTAATCTATAATCTCCTGTCTGATCCAAGCTCTAATAATGTTTTGTTTCGTTCCGCTATACAATTATTGACCTCTTACTACATAATTTAATGTTTACTGACAATTTTAATGTATAGTATCCTATTAAAATTGAAATAACGGAATATATAAATATTTTTAGGTCTTCAGATATTGGTGTTCGTGAAGGGTAATAATCTGAGTCCTACATTGTTTAATTTTTTTATAAATGATTTACCAGAGATGTTTGTTTTTCTAACAGTTTTGTTAAACTACAGTATTAAAGTTTACCTAAAAAACATAACGACATTTATTTAGTATTTAAATATCTCAATTCAACCCAAAATATTCATCAAATCACAAATCTAATATGAAGTCAATTATCATAAAAAGACTCAGAATTAAATATGATGAAATTTGGTTCCATCAATTAAATTATGACAAACCTGGTATGGTGCAAGGAAATAAATTACGAACTTATAGACTATTTAAATACTATTGGTTTGAGAATTGTTTACTGTTAACAAATTGTAAAATAATAAATGAGTTAATCAAATTTTTGAATCAGTTCCCATGAACTTGAAAAAGAACAGGAAAGACACAAAAGAATACCCCAGACAAACGATTTTGTAAATTATGTAACAATGACATTGTGGAGGACAAAATTCATTTCTTCTTTAATGTCCATCACTTAGCACTGAAAGGTCTAGTTTCATTTAACCAATCACAATTTATATGGTTGATGTCAAATGAAGATCCAATAGTTAATAATATAATGATGAAATTGATAGATAGTTTAATAAAGACTAGTAGAGCAAAATTAAGTAATAAGAAATGAATTGCCCGCCAGCTCTTCCTTCAATATTACAACGTTAGTGATTGTGTTCACTCACTCATTATGTTTGGGAAGAAAAACTGTGTTTGTTGTCTCCCTTTTCATATATAGTTTTTGTTTCAACAGAAAATCATCACACTTATCTGTGTACTTCAACTCAAACTGTAACTGTTTGCTCCCCTGGGCGTCTTGATTGACAAATAAAAAAAAGTTGATTATGTTGTTGGTACAAATAACAACCGGTATTTTAGGAAGGGTGAATTGAGACCTATACTTTACGGCAAAATGTGAATTTCTTTTCTTGAACATTCAATTTGTATCGTAACGAAAAATACTTTTTTCAAAATATATTCATATTTGAATCAGGTATGCATCTAATTTCGTAATTTTGTATTCTACAGATACTAAATGATCCAATACATGGCACAATAACACTACACCCATTACTGATAAAAATAATTGATACACCACAGTTCCAACGACTGAGAAATATCAAACAACTTGGTGGGTGTTATTTTGTTTATCCGTCCGCATCACATAACCGTTTTGAGCACAGTATTGGGTGAGTAACTTATTGTTTATAAGTCTTAAGGTGGTAATAACACTTAAGGGAGATAACTCTGTAAAAATCAGCTGAACGTTTTAATCAAGTTCTATTGTTAAGTAAATATTAAGCTTCTCAATGATCAAAATTAGTTTTTGTCAAACTGTTATATATACAATGAAATACAATTTGATAAAGTGAGAGGTTAAAGTTTTTTGAAATTTTTATATTTTTGTCAAAGGGTCAAAGTAAATATTTTGTCAAAATTTTATGAAATTAAACAAGTTAAATTAAATTTAGTCAATGTGTTTGGTACCACATTAAGTAAAAAGATAGTAGAAGATACCAATCAAAAACCTGAACTCAAAAAGAAGGAAAACACCAACACTTAAAACTGAAAAGGGAGCAATACGAACCTCTTAAAAAACAGGGATAAAATGCTCAAGGGCTCTGGCATAACAAAATAAAGTTCCTGGTATACTAGTGGTGCCCGTTGCGTTGCTATTTGTAATTACAAATGTGGTAATAAGTCACATTAGCGTATGTAAAAATCGAGGAAAAGAAGAAAATATTGTGGCTACGACAAATTGAAGATAACCATGATAATATGTGATACAATATTCAATAACGATCAACCAATGAAAAAAATCACTATATAAATTTCGTGCGTATGAAGCACTGTTGTGGATTTATCTTCATCAGGATTATCTAAACCCAAATACTTGAAATCAAGGGATGTGTAAATACGTATGAATGTTAGGAACTTTATGACGGCATCTGTAAAATATTTAAAAAAAAAAAAGAGTTAAGTACATTATTCATCAAGAAAATAATATATTTGAATTGTCGTCAAATTCACTGAACAATTTAAGATTGTTTACGCGGAAAATATTCTAAATTTGTCTGAACTTGAGACAACATTTAATGTTCAGATATCTAACTTGATTTTGAGATCAGCATGGTCGTCTTAAACTATCTTTCACTATCCAGGCAACATTTCCATGGTCCAGATTTTTCTAGTACAACAAATGTTATATCCAAAACATGCAATGGTATTTTTTTTTTACTGGAACCGTTTAGATTAATGCGTAGCAAAAATATTAATTAGTTATACCATAAATGGAGGTTTGTCTAATTTTCTCATGAAAATGTCGGTATCAGGTACGTTATATGACCGTTATTTAGCTTTTGTTTTTTATTACAAATATTTATCATGTACAATGTAACAAATGCAAATTGAATGCACAATAAAGGACAATACATCATTAGATGAAATCCGGTGAGACTTGGGGAGAATAATGATTTAAATTGAGTGGTGGTAGAATTCCATGATGACTCAAATGATATGTATTTAAATCATGCAGTATTTCATGTTGACTCATGATAATGCTCTAGATGCGTTTTATGGTATTTTTATCTACAGTTTCATCCGAAAGAACATCAATATACGTTCATATGTCCCTCTTAATACATAGTAAAAGTGCTTGTTTCAAGTAACAAATCCATTTCGTGATTTTGATGTAATACAACTTTCACATTCCTTGTTTACATTTCCTTCCTTCTGGCATGCACATGATATCAATTACACATAAGGATGAATTTATTTATTTATTTTATTTTAATTTCCTTTATTATCTCAAAGTTTGATATATACATACAGTTTGTGTTAGCTATCAGTGTTTTTGCATATTTGGACAAAACACACACACAAACTTTCTTCAGTTTAGCTTATCACTGATATATTTGCATGAACACATGCTTCAGTCTAAGATATAACGCTCAAAATCTGATATAAGCAAAATATAGAAATAGATTCCAACCCAATCTGGTGTCGTAATATGCAGCTTTGTGCCAATAAGGACAGTGATTAGTTTATGTTGAACTCCATAAATTTGAAAGCAAAACATCAAGCTAGTTATTTATATATGTATATTCAGAACATGTTTCTTAGCCAGTAAATTAGCATGTCAGTTGCAGAAAAGGCTTGACCAAGATATAGAGATGTTAAGGGAAGATGAGGACATTCAAAAGAAAACGTATGCTATGAAATTGAACAAAGCGAAAATGACCGAGGATGACAAACTGTGTATAGAGATAGCAGGCTTATGCCATGATATAGGTATGCAAAACAGTAAAACAGATTCCAATTTGAATCACAATTATAAGTTAAACGATAAGCAACACCATGCTTTAAAGATCTAAATCAAGAGTAATCAGGAGGTTTAGATTTTACACCCTGGGGTTAAATGTCTTTATGAGAGACAAACCCGGGAGTACAAACAACTGAATTAAATCACTCTAAATTGAATGATACCAGGGCTCTCAGACATAAAACTTTACTCAGTACTTGGCGAACAGAATTTATGTTCAAAACATAAAATCCAAGTACGATCGTGCTCGGAATTTTATGACCGCAGGGCCAGGTGATTCGACTGCATTTGTTAAAATGCTTGCATTGATTGTTATTTGATTCAAATTAATTTGAAATAAACATCAATACGTCAAGGCCAAGACCTTGTGAATAGCAATGGTGTCAAAAGCAATAGTTGTAAACATATTGACATATAGGACACAGAGTTAAAATATCATAAGTGAATTTAAAAAAAACAGTGGCTATCAAGCAATACATAAAAGCTAGCTACTGGTACAATATGAACACACTGACATATTCAAAGCTGATGATATATGAAATGTAAATTTGATTTGGAATGCGTCTCTCTATCTCCCAAATACACTTGTTCAAATAACCTTTTTTTTTTGCCTTTTTAAGGACACGGACCATATTCTCATTTGTTTGATCGATTGTTTAATAAAGCAATGAAAGAGAAGGACAAGAGCACGAAGGAATGGACGGTTTGTTTTTAATTTAACAGTTTAATGAATATTTCATAACATTAACGTTAAGTAAATAAAGTATAGGTTGCAATATTGAATATTTCTACACACGTTAGTAAGAAAATTGATCTATTGAGGATGTTGCGCAGGAATATGTCATTAATACACATATGTCCAACTTTGAAAATAATACATATAAACATGCCTATGAAAATTCACACAGATGCAAAATGTTCAGAATCATTGTGAACATTATTACACATGTATGAATTTTCATTGGCCTGTTAAAATGTGATAGTTTCAATGTTTAATAAAATCCCGTGCTAAGAATGTAAAAAGTGGCCTAATGACAGACTTTAAGGTATAGTGCATGGACATACATATTTGTTAATTACAGTTTTGATATATATATATATATATATATATAATATATATATATTGCTTAGACTTGTTTGTATGATATACTTATTTCTAGTGACTGTATAATGAATTGAATCATTATCCCATACGGTATATAAAAATTGTTGAGTTAGATTGCTGACAAATAACAAATACATTGTGTATTAAATAATAATATAACATCTTCACACGCTTAAAACACATGTCTTATGTCTATCTCTAGATTCGCCTTACGTGACAAGGTAACACTACGACTATTGAAGTTATATTTTAATATAGCGGATGTGGTCGTGTGGTCTAGAGCGCTGGACATGAGGCTAAGCGATTGGTGCTGTAGTGTATCAAAGGTGTGAGTTCGAATCCCGTTGAGGGACAAAAATTTGTCAGCATAAAAGTCTAATTCTAACACTGTTGGGTGTAATTTTCAGACTTATATAAATATTTGTATTAACCCTGTGTCTCAAACACACTGAGATCCAGTGGGCATATATATTGTATGGTTGTCACTTGCTTAGACTTGTTTGTATGATATACTTATTTCTAGTGACTGTATAATGAATTGAATCATTATCCCATACGGTATATAAAAATTGTTGAGTTAGATTGCTGACAAATAACAAATACATTGTGTATTAAATAATAATATAACATCTTCACACGCTTAAAACACATGTCTTATGTCTATCTATAGATTCGCCTTACGTGACAAGGTAACACTACGACTATTGAAGTTATATTTTAATATAGCGGATGTGGTCGTGTGGTCTAGAGCGCTGGACATGAGGCTAAGATTGGTGCTGTAGTGTATCAAAGGTGTGAGTTCGAATCCCGTTGAGGGACAAAAATTTGTCAGCATAAAAGTCTAATTCTAACACTGTTGGGTGTAATTTTCAGACTTATATAAATATTTGTATTAACCCTGTGTCTCAAACACACTGAGATCCAGTGGGCATATATATTGTATGGTTGTCACTTGCTTAGACTTTTTTGTATGATATACTTATTTCTAGTGACTGTATAATGAATTGAATCATTATCCCATACGGTATATAAAAATTGTTGAGTTAGATTGCTGACAAATAACAAATACATTGTGTATTAAATAATAATATAACATCTTCACACGCTTAAAACACATGTCTTATGTCTATCTCTAGATTCGCCTTACGTGACAAGGTAACACTACGACTATTGAAGTTATATTTTAATATAGCGGATGTGGTCGTGTGGTCTAGAGCGCTGGACATGAGGCTAAGCGATTGGTGCTGTAGTGTATCAAAGGTGTGAGTTCGAATCCCGTTGAGGGACAAAAATTTGTCAGCATAAAAGTCTAATTCTAACACTGTTGGGTGTAATTTTCAGACTTATATATATATATATATATATATATATATATAAGTGCCTATAAATAGCAGCACATGACATACAAATCTATGGGAGTGTGGATTAATCAGTACAGAGATTGATTCAATTACACAAATAAAATTATAGATTGCCTAACAATGTAATTTTAACACACTATTTAGTATGTAAATATAAGAATGTTTAAAATATTTACAAAATGATGAAAATAAACGCAATATTTCGCTAGACTAACTAGCTTTATCAAGCGTGCATCTATCCAGGTGAAATCGGATGTAGATGATAAGAAAATTTTGCAGCTCAATGTATATGTTGCACTTGAATTTAGCTGCCTTGAAAATAATACATAATTTGGATGAAGTTCAAGATTTTTACAAAATTGGTAGTTGAAGTTAGCAACGTCCATTGGCCAATATTACAGGATAAAAAGGACGATGCTGTGTACTAAATTATTCTTTATCTTTCCTGGTGAAGAAAATACTTTTTTAAGATTTGAATCATTTTTTATAATTAAAGAAGCATTGGAAAATTATAGAAAATGATTCAAATCTTAAAAAAGTATTTTCCTCACCACCAGTCATGGCCTTCAGAAGACCTAAAAACATCCGTGACAAATTAGTGACATCTGTATTAGCAAAGCAGCCTACTCCATCTCCCGGTTGCTACAAACAATGTGGTCGAAGGAACTGCTTGTGTTGTAAAGCTGCCAATACAAGCAGTTCTTTCATCAGCTCCGTTACTAAACAAAATTATACCATCTACTCAAATTCCAACTGTAAAACGGAGAACTCAATTTATATATTAACATGTGACACATGTGGCATTCAGTATGTGGGAGAAACAATGGACAAATTTAATATTCGGCTCAATAACCATCGTTCATGGTACAAAACCAACAAAAACTGTCCTCTCACAAGACATCTTCGTTCAACGAAACATTCTTTTGATAATGTTACCTTCCAAATCATAGAAGTCAACACCGAGTGGGACACCACGGCGAGAAGGAGAAGGGAAAATTTTTGGATCCACCAACTCCACACTTTAGAACCTGATGGTCTTAACGAAAAAGATGAGAAAAGATACAGGAAAGATAAAGAATAATTTAGTACACAGCATCGTCCTTTTTATCCTGTAATATTGGCCAATGGACGTTGCTAACTTCAACTACCAATTTTGTAAAAATCTTGAACTTCATCCAAATTATGTATTATTTTCAAGGCAGCTAAATTCAAGTGCAACATATACATTGAGCTGCAAAATTTTCTTATCATCTACATCCGATTTCACCTGGATAGATGCACGCTTGATAAAGCTAGTTAGTCTAGCGAAATATTGCGTTTATTTTCATCATTTTGTAAATATTCTAAACATTCTTATATTTACATACTAAATAGTGTGTTAAAATTACATTGTTAGGCAATCTATATATATATATATATATACAAGTCTAAATTAAAAAACAACGTTGATTGCGTTAGATAAAAACCGCAATTTTTATACGTGTGCATGCAAAACAAATTTCTTGGTAGAGGGATCTAAATACAACACAAACAACATTTTCCAAAAAACCAAAAAAGTGAAAAAGTATATTTTAACAAAACGCATTTCACTAGCAGGTCGAACAACGGATGTTTTTAAACACTGCTGACTGCCATGGCGATTCCCAAATAAACGGATCACCAGCTGTAACAAAATGGATCCTTATTATTAATTTAATACCACACAGAAATCAACAAACTTGTGGAAAAGATGGTATACCACAAACATGAGGTAGCACTCCACAGTTAGGTGTGTAGTTTCGCATTTGGCCCCTGTGGATTTTTTAAATATGAGAGCTAATGTGCAATGAAATTCATTTTTGGATAGCTGAAGATTAATATAGCCTTCATAGTGGGTTTATAGGAACATCTAGTTTGGGTAATGCATCTATTATGGGCTGTTTTCTGTATGACAGTCCGTATTTTCATATCCATACCAGACATCGGTCCGGCAATTATTGCATTGTTTTTTTCTAACTTTTTGTCGCACGAACTTTGTGATTAAATTTTACGAAAAAATGAGGCGAAAGACACCCAATTTTTATTTGATCATTTGGTAGATTAATGTCAACTGTTTCAGAAAAGGTATTACTCATAGGCATTGAAATTTTAGTTTAAACCAAATTTTGGGGGAATATGTGACATTTTGATGCCCCTTTTTGCAATATTTTATGATAAATAAATGCAGAATGTTGCCATGGATACAAAAAAAAAGGAATTATTTTTCACCATTTTAACTTTTGAAAATCAAGTTTATGGAAGATACTGATCACATACATATGCACATGTATGTCACAAACAGTTAGCTTAATGTATTTGAAAGCCAGGAATAGGAGTGATTAAACATTTTTTGGTTCAATTTTAATTTTATTTTCTAACTGTGGAGTGCTACCTGAGGTGCAAAATTGGTACACCATATCCGGATTTCGACATTTAATGTCTCTTCAGTGATGTTAGGAATCGAAACGGTATTTGGAAAGCCTATAATTTACCTCAATTTAGGATTAACTCTTGAATTTCGAAGTGTCGAAATAGGATGAACGGATTATATAAACCCAAAGGCAAATATAATACAAGCCCAAACGAAAAAATATGAACAAGTCTAAATTGAAAACAACGTTCAAACCTATGATTGCGTTAGATAAAAACCGCAATTTCTATACGTGTGCATGCAAAACAAATTTCTAGGTAGAGGGGTCTAAATACAGCACAAACAACATTTTCCAAAAGACCAAAAAAGTGAAAAAGTATATTTTAACAAAATGCATTTGACTAGCAGGTCAAACAACGGATGTCCTTAAACACTGCTAACTGCCATGGCGATTGCCAAATGAACGGATCACTAGATGTGTTAAAATGGATCTTAATTATTAATTTAATACCAAACAGAAAATAATAAACTTGCGGAAAAGATGGTATACCGCAAACATGAGGTGCAATAATTAATATACCATATCCGGATTTCGACAATTAATGTCTCTTCAGTGATGTTAGGAATCGAAACGGTATTTGGAAGGCCTATAATTTACCTCAATTTAGGATTGACTCTTGAATTTTGAAGAGTCGAAATAGGATGAACGGATTATATAAACCCGAAGGCAAATATAATACAAGCCCAAACGAAAAAATATATATAGAAATTACTTAGAATTAAGTAGCATAACGCTTTCAGCCATCTTGGGACTTAAATGTTGTCATGTACAACTTCGTTAAGGGAAGACTATGTGTCTATGACGTAACATCATTGTTGACACAGGTTTATCGGAGAGTGTATTTGCTCCTCAACTTGGCGTCAAATATTCTAATATTTTTTTTGCTCCACTTCCTTTCTATACTCCTCTGAAGAAATTTGGCACTATAACTTCCCGTTTTTTAAGTCCCAAGCCCTTCCAAGGATTATAGAAAGAAACTGGAGAAAAAAATTATTAATTCGTCCGTCCACCCGCCAACCTGTCCTTCATTCATTCCTTACGTCCGAAACCTATTCCTTCCGTCCGAAACGCATCAATACTCAGAGACCGTTTCACATAAAGCTATCACACTTCATAGGATTATTTGTCGTCATATTTTCTTTACCGTGCTATATCGTCAATTTGATTAGACAATTTGTAAGGGATTTATTGGACGTTGGCCATTTTATTTTTGGTATTGTAAATATGATACTGTGTGAACGTGTCTCCTCTGAGCCCGTTTAATAGAATACTCGTGTTTGTCATAACAGGATATGTACTTGACCATATAGTACCTTCAATTTGAGTTGACCTTTTTACGGGAGATATTGGACTTTGACCATTTGTTGGAGTATTGTAATAACAACATCCTTGATAAAGCAACTCCTCTGGTACCATTTGACAGAAAGTTCTAATACTTGGTGCTATTGTTTGCCATTATGTGTAGTTGACCATATTGTACCGACATTTTGATATGAGCTATCTGAGACCATTTTACAGAAAGCTCTCCTAGTATTGTTTGAAAACATGTGTAGTTTACTAAATTATACCGTCATTTTTATCAGACCGTTAGGGTAAGGGTTAGGGTTAGGGTTATTCGATTATTTTTTGGCGTATTGTGATATTTTCATTTGTGATCCCAACTCCTCTGATACCATTTGACAGAAAGCTTTCATACTTAGCTGGGTTATTTGCTATTATGTGTGGTTGACCATATATTACCGTAATAATGATGTAACCACTTGAATCGGAGTGATGGGACTTTTACCATGTTTTCACCATCTTTGCACAATGACAGATTTTGACAAACAATTTATTTCTAATTTTTACAGGCTCTGATTTATATCCTAATAAATAAGATATGTTTAAAATCAAACTTAAATTGACTTCCATATTTACCTGGACCGATATGTATAGCCTCCACAGCATCCTATACGTTTTGTGCAGTCTATCATTTAAATTGATAGAATTGAGAATGGAAACGGGGAATGTTTCAAAGAGACAACGACCCGACCAAAGAGCAGAACAAAATCAAAGGCCACCAATAGGTCTTCAACGCAGCGAGAAAATACTTCACCCGGAGGCGGGCTTCAGCTGGCCAATAAACAATAATGTGTTCTAGTTCAGATAAACGGACGTCTCATTTAAGTCATAAACATATAAATGAACTAAATTTTAAAAACACACACAAGACTAACAAAGGCCAGAGGATCCTGACTTGGCGACAGGCGCATATATGCGGCGGAGATAAACTTGTTTTGTGAGATCTCAACCATCCCCTATATACTAACCAAGCGGAATAAAATAAAAACACAGCAATACGTACAGTAAAACTCAGTTTAGAAGAAGTCCGAGTCCGATGTTAGAATAGGTTATAGAAACCTATTTGTTAGCTCGAAAACTACAGTTGAAACGTGCTCTTGGCAATTTCGGATGTTCAGTAAAGGTCCCATTTTTTACCTTTGTCATGCTCTTACATTTTTTGTGTATTTTACTTGTTAAAGTTTTTAGTCTTCAGCATAATTGATACGGATATTTAAAAAGCTATTCCTTTGACTGAAATCAATATGATACGTTTTTGTTCACCTTTTATAAATCCGATGTCGTTCGACTAACTTTGCTAGTGGTCTAATTATATATGTACAGTCATTTTTAAAATAACAGTTATTAATCTGTCATAAATAATATATCCTTATATCCTGATAAACGAATACTCATATATATATATATATATATATATAACAAGAAATTTGTTTTACATGCACACGTATAAAATTGCGGTTTTTATCCAACGCAATCATAGGTTTGAACGTTGTTTTCAATTTAGACTTGTTTATATTTTTTCGTTTGGGCTTGTATTATATTTTCCTTCGGGTTTATATGATCCGTTCATCCTATTTCGACTCTTTAAAATTCAAGACTCTATCCTAAATTGAGGTAAATTATATGGCCTTCCAAATACCGTTTCGATCCCTAACATCACTGAAGAGACATTAATTGTCGAAATCCGGATATGGTGTACAAATTTTTGCACCTCATGGTTGTGGTATATCATCTTTTCCACAAGTTTATTTTTTTCTGTTTTGTATTAAATTAATATTAAGATCATTTTGTTACATCTGTGATCAATTTATTTGGCAATCGCCAATTGCAGTCAGCAGGGTTTAAGAACATCTGTTGTTCGACCTGTTAGTCAAATGGGTTTTGTTAAAATATACTTTTTCACTTTTTTGGTCTTTTGGAAAATGTTGTTTGTGCTGTATTAAGACCCCTTTAACAATAAAATTTGTTTTACATGCACACGTATAAAAATTGCGGTTTTCCAACGCAATCATAGGTTTGAACGTTGTTTTCAATTTAGACTTGTTTATATTTTTTCGTTTGGGCTTGTATTATATTTTCCTTCGGGTTTATATGATCCGTTCATCCTATTTCTACTCTTTAAAATTCAAGAGTCTATCCTAAATTGAGGTAAATTATATGGCCTTCCAAATACCGTTGCGATCTCTAACATCACTGAAGAGACATTAATTGTCGAAATCCGGATATGGTGTACAAATTTTTGCACCTCATGGTTGTGGTATATCATCTTTTCCACAAGTTTATTTTTTTTCTGTTTTGTATTAAATTAATATTAAGATCATTTTGTTATATCTGTGATCAATTCATTTGGCAATCGCCAATGGCAGTCAGCAGGGTTTAAGAACATCTGTTGTTCGACCTGTTAGTCAAATGCGTTTTGTTAAAATATACTTTTTCACTTTTTTGGTCTTTTGGAAAATGTTGTTTGTGCTGTATTTAGACCCCTTTAACAAGAAATTTGTTTTACATGCACACGTATAAAAATTGCGGTTTTTATCCAACACAATCATAGGTTTGAGCGTTGTTGTCAATTATATATATATATATGAAGAACGAGTTAGCCAATCTTATCTGATCAGAAGTTTGAAGGTATAGCACTGCCAAACATTACCGCAATAAATTGGTAAAAGAAACCAAGGGACATTCGAGACTCTTAAGTCAACGAACAACTGACAAGTTATGTATACATCAATTAGAATACTCAAACTGAAATCGTTTATCTTTATGGAAATACAAAATCGATTACAAAATGCATACTGACTTCTTCAAAGTTTCAGATATTTGTTTTCTTTACTTTTGAATGTTTGTAATAATCTAAAAAGGTTACAGGGCTCGGAAAATAAAGATCTAATGAAATAATCGTGTATTAATTAGCAAGTATTATCTATCTTAGCATGAATATGTTTCAAGAATGATGATAGACTATATGATTAAAGAAAATAAGGATCTTGCAGAAGCATTTGCAAAACAGTTTCCTACAGATTGGATAGATAGAAAGAAATTCATCAAAGACCTCATCGACGGAAAGAAGGTTATTTCAATCTCTATGTAAAAGTTTTTAAAAGTATATGTATTTTTAAAAACCAGGTAGGATTCATAATCATTATAATGGTGATACAAAGTGAAAAATTACCGTTAATATTTTAGGCTTTATTTTCATTCAGCTACTCATGCAATAGTATGTCCCTTTTGTAACGCATTCTATATAAAGTATATCTCCTATGACCAGACAAATACTTGTTTTCCATAAACATTGGTATATTTCATATTTGTGTTCATAGTACATTTTAAAACTGTGATAACATTCCTGGTGTGTTTTTCTCCATTCGTTATTCACTTTCAGTTCTTTATGAATAATTGTACTTAAGAAATAGCCAATGTACTTATGCCCAAATGTTTGACTCTTCCATTTAAGACTTAGTATTTCTGTGATTCTTTGTCCCGATTATTAATGATTTATACAATGTAATAGAATAACAAATAAAATATTCATATACAAAATAATTAGAAAGTTCATGTTTTCATATGCTTCATGTAGAAAATTTCGTTTTCCAGAATAAAAAGGAAGATACAGCAAGATATTACATGTATGAGGTAAGGTTGTAAGTGTATTTTATTATAGGGTATCAAGACTGATACTTTTGTATGTTTTTTTCACAACTGGTGAAAGCATAAAATATTCAAATAAATTTTCTTAACGCCATAAATTAAACTTCACTAAGGATTCCTTTAACAAACGCCAAAACGACGTAAAAAGCTTAACTCATACGAAAATGTCAAACTACGTAAATAAAATTAGCTAAACATCTGAAAAGAAATTGAAATGGTCATAAATCAAAAGTATAAACATAAGAAGATGTGGTAAAATTGCCAATGAGACAACTCTACACAAGAAACCAAATGCCATAGAAATTTTCAAGTATAGGTCACCGTACGGCCTTCAACAATGAGCAAAATCCATACCGCAAAGTCACATATAAAAGGCCCAGAAATGACAAATGTAAAATTAACAGCCTGATTTATGTACAAATCATTAAATTATAGGCTCCTGACTGGGGACAGGCACATAATGTGGCGGGGTTACACTAGTTTGTTGGCGCCAAACCCTCCCCCTAACCTGGGAACTGTTTTCATTTATGAGATCAGAACCTCTTATTGGTCGTGTTTCAGCATTTCAAACTTAGAATAGTTCAAATACAAAGCTTTGTAAATAAGACAGGGATGTAAGGGTGGTTTTCAGCCACATTTTTATCCAGACGACGATATGAGTTAATCATTTAGTAATCTAAGAAAACAACTAGAAAAACTTCACATCTTGTATAGAATAAAAATTGGAGCAAATGTATCGCATTTATAATTGTTTATCTAAAAAATTGAGAGTTCCCCACATGTGTACAGCAACTTTTAGTTACTCATTTTTATAAGAAAGAGTCATAAGATGTTAAATATGAATAATTTTCCTCATCTCAAATATATCGAAATCTTTAAAAAATTGGACAAACGCACAAACCCCATTGGAAATCAAAACGAATGGCTTCATTTGCTGTTGTATAGACAATATCTACCTGTTTCATCAGTGCAAAACAGTATACTTACGAGGGTGAATATAAACAAAACATGATTATAAAAGGCTTTGCATTTTTTGGTATATTTCCCTATTTATATTGGACTTATTAAACAACACTTTCATTTTTGTTATGGCAGAATTGAAAAGTTATTTATACCTTTCTCCTTTTATCATTTACTTACACTTATATTAATAAAAGTAAAGTAACTGATTTATCTTTTATATCATCGTTTATATATATTATCTCGACCACACCGCCTGAAAAAATGAAAAAAAAAGAATAGCCAAATCATACTAAGGTCGATTTTTTGTGATGTGGAACATCATAATTTCTAAAATAACTATAATTATTTTTTAAATGTATGGTTTAAATCATGTCAGTGCCGATGCATTGGCAACTGGACTGATGATAACATCGGAAACAATCATTCTACCAGCATTGGTAACGATCCAGTGCTAGAAAATGAAAAGAACAAATAAAGCATTTGTCAACGTTCTATGTTGTGCTTACCCGTAAAAGAAATAAAGGCATTTGACCATACCTCTTTTTATTGCCGATTGGTTGATTATGATAGATATTTCATTTCAGATTTTATAATTTTAGTGGACAATGTTATACAAATTGTATTATTGTTTTTGACATTATTTGTAGATTGTAGCAAACAAGCGAAATGAGATAGATGTTGATAAAATGGACTATTTTGCTAGAGATTGTCATGGACTCGGAATGAAAAGTAATTTTGACCATCTTCGTTTCATCAGTCAATGTAGAGTGATGTTCTCAAGTGATTTCCCTGAAGAAACTACTATTGCTGTCCGAGACAAGGTAAATCTACACTTTTCTTTATTAACGTTAAAAAATAAAATAAAGGATACAATCTAATATTCTTATATCAATTCTCGAATGGTTGTGACATGTTATCCAATTCTGGCATGAAGAATTTTTGTTTGTATCACGAATCACACTGAACAGAATGTGATACGAAAAATGTGTTAATTTGATTGGACAATCGGGCAAAATGAAACGATATTGCGATATTTCCTTTGGCCATTGGTACGTTCAAAGTTCAAAACGATTTACATTTCCCGCATGGCAACGTGGGTGTGTGATTTCTTCAATAAGATATAAAACACGCACATTTTTCACTTGAAAATATTATATTTGTCAACTTTTATTCAACATTCTGAAGCGCACAACAAGTTTTAAAATGTTTAATGTGAAGGTTTGACGACAAACAGGACATCTGTCGGCATATTGTTGTGTGCAAAAGACTAGATTTGGTAGTCACAGCCATTTCTAATTATAAATTTTACCATTTTACCATGGGAGAAGTAGATTTAACGCGTGAAAATTGGATGTTGCATGATATCAACTTTCTTTTCTAAGTTTTAATACTATCATTTACTCGCCAGTGCTTGTTTATTATTGTATTGAAATTAGATAACTCGATTTGATATCAAGCGATATCCAATTCTCACTCGTTATGAAACCTAATATTATCTTTAGATAATGAATAATGATTATCACAAGAGAGGATCAAACCCAACACAACTTAAATACAGGTAATGAAAGCTTGTAACTAAGTTAATACAGAAGAAAAACATTTGCTTAATATTTCAGTGTTTGTTACTTCAATACCGTTTGTTCCAAGATCTCATTGTGAAAATATTGTGAAAATAGCACGGAAGACGCAATAAATGAAACTGACCATTTATTCCATTTAACTAAGGCGAGTTAGTCACCAATGTTCATCATAATAAAGAGCAAGACAGGGAGCATTTGGAAGTTCGCCAAAAGTATATGCTTAACACCAGTGATAAAAACAAGCACATTTGTTGCTAGTCTATGTATGAGACATTATTGTGCTGAAAGCTCTCATCGGATCCTTAAAAATTGTCACAAATATTATTGCCTATTTGAGTTTCTTTGAACTAGTTTCTTTTGTTGAGTTTGGTGGATTGATATTTCAACACAGACAGTCGTTTATCGCATGTTTCCTAAAACTGCACCCCTACAGGCCAACGTGTGCTTGCACTGACATGAGGTAGAATGCATACATAAACTACTCAACGACAAATTAATAGAATAGCTTGCAGATATTTTTTCACTTTCAACTACAATAAAGATGTACTGTCATTCAAATATCCATTACAGTGGGTGCTAGCAACTAATATATCCCAGTAATTTGAAGATTAAGGATAATGCCGAAACTAGAAAGTCTGCTGTATATCTTGATCTTCGATATTGACATATATGGACTTCAAACTCAAATCTATTACATACATCCTGATTTCAACTTAACATGTCTCAGCAGTAATATGGCGTGTTCATATAATAATATGTAACACTAGTCCATGTTAACACTATACGGACTTCATAAACAGGAGTGTGTACCTTAAACAGAAACTGCTATAAACGAATTATGCGGAAGAACTACTGATATTCAATGAATAATTTGGTAGTTCATTTTGTGTTACATTTTCCTTTCACAGTCCCTTTGTCGTGACCCCAAGAACGAACCATATTCCATGTTAGGTTGCACTTTGTAACATAGTACTAATACTAATGAAAATAAAGCCCAAATAAAAGAATCCAACAATTTAGAAAACTTATAGATTATAATTTGGTGTATAATTGTTCTGAAGAACTTATATCTCATTTTCTGATACACCGATATTTTTTTTTTAGCTCCAGTGGTATTCGTATTAAAACACAATATGAATTATACCTCTTAAATGTTTGGTTGATACATTCTATCTCACTTCAGGAAGAGTATAATTTGTATGAACTGTTTCACACCAGAATTGGACTTTTCAGAAGAGCTTACTACCATAAAGTTACCAAGGCAGTAGAGTTAATGTAAGTGAAAAAAAAACTATTGACTAATACATATGCTCCCTTTTTCCTTGTTTACCATATTGATGCTATGAAATTAAATATGTGATACTTTTCCAATAATAAGTTAAGTGGGTGGTAAATATCATCATCAAACTATGTAATATATTACGTATATTTTGGTTTTTCTTAATGTAAGACAAAACAAAATTTCTGTTCATCATATTTCAATTATGCTAGAAGACATTGAAAACAGCTTTTGAACCAACTACTGTATCTGCATTTCAAAAAACAGATACGTATTGCTTTGTTTTAGTGACAGTCGAAATTCTGACTTCTACTGTACTGTTTTCCTGTCACGTAATGTTGTAATTTTAGCGGTATTTTTAACATTGCCATACAACCGGGAGGTTTGGCTAGCCATAAAACCAGGTTCAACCCACCATTTTTTCTTAAAATGTCCTTTTCCAAGTCAGGAATACGGCAGTTGTTATCAAATAGTCCGTTTCTATGTATGTTGGCGTTTTGTAGCAGTTCAGTGTTTCTATTGTTCCGTTGTTTTCCTCTTATAGTTGATGTGTTTCCCTCGGTTTTGGTTTGTGACCCAGATTTGTTTCATTTAAATCGATTTATGACTATTGAACAGTGGTATAATACTGTTGCCTTTATTTAACAGTTGAGACGCAAAACGGAACATATTCGTGGTCATCTGTGACATAGATATTGAAAAGGCCAATCAAATGATGGCGTTGTTTAGCGGTTAAAGAGATGAGTTTAAATTCACAAAAAACCTATGTTGAATAATCAGTTACCCTATAACAAGAAAATATGACTTGATAAACCTTCCATATCATGGTAACTGGGAGAAAACAACGCTATTTTTCAAAATTAGGTACGGAGGGAATATTCAAACACAAATACAGATGTGTCTATAGGTTATACAAAATGGTGGGTATAAAAATAAAATATTAAAGGCATTCATCAGTTGTCAAGATATTTTCATAACTGATTATTTTACCCTTCAAAGTGTATTTCGAATGAGCATTTTCGCATTATCATATATATGTATAACACTCTAATATAATATAGAATGGAAACGGAGAATGTTTCAAAAATTCGGCGAGGTTAAACATTATTTAACATTTAAATAAATGGACATTTTTTCTACAATGCATTGTTATGCCGGGTTTTTTTTTATTTATGAAACATCACTTTGATTTGTATTGCCCATTAAATTCGATATTCAAAGATAGCTCTAAATTAAAATAGAAGCTTATATGATTTCAGGTTCACTGACGCTTTAGTAAAAGCCAATGATCATCTCTTGTTTAAGAACAAAAAAGGGTAAGAAAATTGAAAGTAAATAATTCTTGTCATAATCGAATAAAGCACACCAGTAGCATGGAAAGAAACTTAGATGCAAAGCATTTAGAACTTAATCAATTGTTTGAATAATAATGATAGACAGGTTCAACAATTAAGTAAATTGAAATCTAACGAGCAAGGCCTATTATGCATACTACATAGAATGCACCATAACTGCATTTTATAAATATTTTTTTTGATGCAATATAGTATATATAGTAAATGGAATTTTAATATCAATTGAAATATAAATGTATGTAACAATTTTTGACAAAACAATGTTATTATTAGAATGTCTTTTTAAAGTTTAAAGATTATTGAATTTATTTTCTTTCAAAGAAAAAACATAAAGATGAGTAAAGCCTGGAAACACCCGGAAGTATACGAAAAGCTTACTGATAACGTTTTTGATGCAATTTTAATAGAAAAGGATCCGGACGAGGATATGCAAAAAGCACAGGAGTTGATCAAAAACGTTTATAAACGCAAACTTTACAAGCTTGTCGATGACACATCACCAGTAGAGGTTGTTATCATTTCTAAATTATTTCTTAGTGATTATACTTCTCGGTTAATTTTAAACATAATAGATCCAACCCTGATTAATACTTTGAAAAGAGATACTTAAGTTTTAATATGTAATATCACGTGAAAACGTCAGACATCATATGGAAAAGTGGTAATTTGCATAGCTGTCATGTTGACTTTATTTTGACAGCCATCACAATTGGTAATACATGCATGTAAAAAATATCCGACTATTCTCAACAATTTGTCCGCATATAGTTGAATGGTCCCTGACTTTTGCCTTGTGTCTGTGTACACAGGAATATTGATGATTTTATGTTCCCAATGCGTAAGCATTCCAAATTAAAGGATTTTCCTAATAATTACACAAAATATTTAGCAAATATTTCCAAAAAGAAGTTTTCAACGATACGTTAGTTTAGGATCCAAAACGGAAAAAGACTTGATTATCCGTAAATTTGATTTAATTTATAACTTTAATTTATCAACAAAGGGAGGTAATTGAATTACAACGGTGATTCAAATCTCGTGATTAAATTACCATTGATTTTGATCATGATATGTTATAACTGGGGATTTATGTATACTACAAATCGGTTCAAACTAAACAACGGTCAAAGTCGTGTCTTCAGCATGTTTGTACTGTTTTTATATTGCTGTATGTATGAAAAGTACAGCAACCTATATAACAGTGTAAGATAAAAAGATTTCCATTAAATCTAAGATTGCCTTAAGTAACTACGAGCATTACTTAATACTTTATAATATTAGTTATAATTTTGAGATGTTGCTAAATATTATACTGTTATTTAAAAGATAATTGCTGTTTGTTTTTTATACACGTCGTTCTTGTGCACTGATCAAGATTAAAAAGGGGGGAGGATTGAGATTTAAAAAAACAAGTTAAACTCCACCCAATATGTATATGCTTTACTTAAGTGAGAAAGCCCTTCGGTGGTTGAATTACGCCATATACTAATTTGTAGATACTATTAGTAATACGACGAATGCCTTTCCGAAGCACCTTCGATCGATTCGGATGTTTTGGTGAGTTTCGTGTTGCTCAGTCTATAGTTTTCGAAATGGTTGTTCGTAGGCTGTTTTTTTGTTTTATAGGCGTTTTTCATTTTTTGCGATAGTGTAATTGATGTGTCGTCTACTTTTTTAAATCTGATTTTCCATTGGTATCTTCCGCTTTATCTTCAATATATTTGAGTGCCGATGGCAGGTCTTGGTTGTTTCTAGTTAATTTGAAAACTATTCTTGTTTAGATTTGGAACGTGTAAAAATGACATTTTGTATGAACATCTGTCAATTGTTGGAAACAATGTTCCCCAAAGATATAAAAATAAGGAGATCTGGTATGATTGCCAATGACACAACTATCAACCAAAGTTCCAATGAAGTGATTTTAAAGCAATTATATACAATCATTCGGCCTTCAACAGTGAGAAACCCCCTTACCATATAGTCGGCTTTAAACGGCGACGACATAAAAAATGTAAAACAATTCGATTTAGAAAACTAACGGGCTAATTTATAACAAAACAATTTACGAATAACATATATGAAAGACATTAACCAACAACATTTTGGTTAGTTTTATTTTTTGTTTCGTTTTCATTGACGTATAACAATCATCTTCTTATATCCATACTATAACAAAACCATTATTGGAAATCAACCAAATATATATTATCCCAATTTGGTATGTGGTAGATGAATGCATATCACATTTCTTTTCACTATACGTTTTTCTAGTTTTCGGTCAATGCATAAAAAAGTTGTCCATGAGATCGTTATACAAAATATCTATTTTACAATCCATCTTATACAGAGGGAGGAACAGTCTATGTCCACAACAGCTATTCAAAGTCATCAGCAACACCATTAACTCATATACAAAAGAAAGGCCATTCATTAACCATGATGATCTCTATTAATTAATATGTTGTTTAGAAAAAAATGAAAACAACGCTTTTATAAATTTCATGTGTCCGAAGCGCTTTTCTGGATTAACATTCACCAATGCCGAATTTTTGAAAGCAAAGGATGTATAAGAACCCAACCATTTGAAGAGCTAGTGTTGTTTCATTTTATCTATATAAAATTATGAAAAAATACCTTACCATTTTCTGTCACGTCTGATCCATTTACTTCATTACCCTTTTCATGAGTTACCTTATAGATATTTTAGCATTCTATACATAGACAATTTTTTTTTTATTATCGAAGCAAAATTCCGGAAATTTATTTTCTTAGATTGTACATTACATTGATAAATAATCGCTATAAAATAAGTCACGTATATAAAAAAGTAAGTAGAACCAGATAAAACAAACAGAATTCTAATTGTATACCAATGAATATACTACATCATTTTAATAGAATATAAAGTTCTGTCAAGATAGGTCTACAGCTATCTCAAATATAATCATTCGTCCTAATTTAAAAACCTGGACATGTGCCTTTGTCGCTCATACATTAACAATACCTGAAAGTCAATTGAGACGTGTGCAACACAATTAAAATTGCACTGTACAAAAGTAACTAAATAGAAAAAGAATTATTACCCACTATTATATCAGAGAAATAATTGTATAAGACCAGTTTCAAATACAAAAAGTCGACATAAATACACAAAAAGGTCAAAAGCAAATAATGGCATAACATATCTGCAATAAAAGGATAGAAAAATTATTTCTTATGCAGCATAGATACTGCAATCTGATTAATTAATTACCCCGGTGTAAATAACACCCCACCCTTGTTCACCCCGGGATAAATAAAATTTTGCCAAAAAATAAAATTTTGCCAAAATAAAGAAAAAAAAATAAAATGTAAAAAAAAAAAATAAAAAAAAATAAAAAATAAAAAATGAATAAATTTGAGGACAAAAATTAGTAAAAAAAATTTTAAAATTATTTAAATTTTTTTTCCAGAAAATTCGAAAGAACAAAAAAAAATCTGAATTTCCCAAAAACAAAGAAAAAAGTATTTAACAATGCGCAGCAACATCGACGTTGAAAAAATGTTACACTGGATATTTTTCATTAGCATTTTTCAATTTTACATCCCGGTTTAAAAATGGGTAAAGGAATTGTTCATAAAAAATAAATTCGTTATCTTGGTGTAATCAGGGGTGTACGGAATTTTACACCGTTGTTGAAAATTCTGTACACCCCTGATTACACCAAGATAACTAATATTATCCTGCAATTAAATAGAAATAGAATTATTACCCACTACTATATCAGAGAAATAATTGTATAAGACCAGTTTCAAATACAAAAAGTCGAAATAAATACACAAAAAGGTCAAAAGCAAATAATGGTATAACATATCTGCTATAAAAGGATACAAAAAATTATCCTGCAATATAGGTAAGCTGTTGAACATATCATTATTACCACAATCATGTAGGTTAAAACTGTAGTTATTTAAAACAAATTGAAAAAATAATCTTAGCGTAAAATGTCAAAAGTGGACAAAGCACAAAATAGATAAGATTATACGTTGTGGTACATATTGTGAATTTAATACACAACATACATTCAATTCTATGTTTCAGAAAATTAAAGAAGAAGATAACAGAATAAAACAGCTTTTGCTACAGACAGGACTCACCAAAGATGATTTTGCAGTGCAAGTAAGAAATGATAGTTTGTTTACTAAAGAAGGCCTTTATCTTGTTATTGTGTTGTTGCTTATACTCTTGAATCGGTACTTTATGTCATTTGTCTTTTTGTTAGTTGCTTTTGTGCTTCTTTTCGATAAGATGAGTCAAGACCAATCCAACCAAATATATGAGCTTGTTCTTATGTTCTGCTGTCATGAAATTGTCATGTATAAAGGGACTGGTTGAGTTTAAACTAAAATATATTTCTGTATATGGCCTTTTTTGTTGCTATCTCTAATCTTTGGGGTTTTTTTTTGTTTTTATTTTTATCATTCAGCACGTTGTTGAATTTCTTGTTTGAAATTTTGCTAATTTTATTAATCTTTTGATTTTGTCAGTTTGTATGGACTTTCCCCTTTTTTTATTTACCCTTGAGTTCAGTAAATTTGTTATACCTTTTTACATACATTTGTAATTTAAAAATCAAGTTATAGGCACATAAATAAGTAATGTTGAAAATAGCGTTTATACTAAGAATGACGAGATCTGACATTATTATAGCAGAATGCCGTGATTGATTAAATTGACAAGTCTGTATGCCATTGGTGACAATGCATGCTCAAGTTCCTCAAAGTTAGTCCTAAATAGACGGTAACGATCTCCCAATAAGTCGACTCATATTCGCATCACCCCATTGTAAATTTGTTCAGGGGATTGAAGAATAACAATTTCTAGATCATAAAACATCTAAGCTCGAGATTGTGCTTATTTAGAACCGGCCACTCATGGTAGACATGAGATGTTCATTACAGAACTTCCTGCGGTAACGCATTAAAGGAAAAACAGTATGTGATCCGACGTTAAATATAGGAAAGGATCGTAACCCCTTAATCTTGCGCCAGATCCGGTCATTTAACTGGGTTTATATACACTTGTGAGAAAGCCCCCCTTCCAAGTATTGAACATCTTGAAAGTTAATATCAAATACTTAAACTTCGGGGGAAGAGTGTATTTTGTCAGATGATAGGAATGTTTCTATTCCCCCTTGAATGTTGCTTAAATATATATTGTATCCCATCGATATTTTGATGACGAATATTACAGTCCGTTTATTATGAAATTATTGTTTATATCACAGTTTACGCATTGTCGATCTCAATCAAAAGCTTTTCCCTCTTTTGCATCCTGTCAATATTTTCTAATTAACATTCCACTCCACACGATGCGAGTTTTATGTAATTTTAACGGCTACAACAGATGATCCGATGAAGTCAAACTGTTGAACCCAAAGTAAGGTAACAGGGATTATAGTATAAAACGAAAGTATTGTATTCGTAAGTTTTTGAAAATAAAAGGACTTAAATATTGATATGTCGTTAATATAAAAAGGAAGACCTCCGACGGCACTGCTTGATAATATTGCTTTAACTCAGATATCCGTAGCTCTTCCTAATATAAAAGAATGAGACCGAATATAGAACGTTATATCACAAACGCCCGAAACGTTTTAAAAGAAGGATCACAATTGATATTTTGCAGAGGCCAAGCCATTGCAATGTATACATAATGTATTGGACCCATTGACGCCTGAGAAGCGAACATGTACGCAATATCGTAATAAATGAATTTGACAAATGTCCATGTCAGATTGTCACTGAATGATCAGGTTAACATTGTGCTTTTGATCAGTTTTAAAACTGCATATTTTGACATGCAATTCGGTTTGATCATTTCACCAAGAAAAGTCGCATCTTCATAAATCAAAGCATGTCTGCATTCGTCAGTACGACTGCTTATAGCTACCTCGGTTATCCGTAACATCGCTATTTTCGAAAGAGAAAAAAGTAGAAGAAAACATCAATGTTTCATAACGAGAATTGCTTACCCGGCGTTATATGTAAATTAAACGTTTGAACATGTTAAACGATATCAGTGTTCGACACCTTATTATTGTGAATTTTTACTACGTAGTCTTCCATAATATTGCAAATAATGAAAATGTTTGCATTGTGTGTTATACTATGAATGTTATGAACGTGGACCAACCTGGAAATGTGAGTAGACACCTTAGACGCTGACAACTATTTGTATGAGCGATATGCTATAAATTGAGCAATTTAGTCTCATAGGAACCGGCTAAAAAATCAAAATAAACATAGATAGGGATTCTACTGCTGTTCTATAAGTTTTCTAGGAGTTCGATGCCATAGACCATTTAAGAAATAGGTCTATTTTGTCTTTTAAACTTTTCAAAGGTGGGTCGGAATCACATACGGCTTGCATCTGCGGTGAGGCTAGTTTATGTAACTTCTGAAAATCACAGTGAAACAGAAAGACAGCTGAGAAATTTTGCAAGGTTCCTGAATATTGTATTTATATTTTCATTCACAGAAAGTAACTTATTCATATGGAAAAGGGACAGAAAATCCGATTACCTCAGTATATTTCTATACGAAGGATAATGATACGGACTGTTTTCCAAGAACCAAGTCAAAAAAGGTAAATGTTTAAGCGTACTATAGTTCAAAATTTACGATTTTTTTTATTATTGCGCAATTTGCGACGCTATGGAGATCGGACAAAAATAAAACAATATCATTTTAAATATTAATATTTATATGCAGCGTTTCCTGAAATCGATTTAATCAGTCTAGCATTTTTCTCCATTGTTCAGCAATTATCATATTAAATGCACACACACATTTCTGAATTCACAGTAATATACAAAAATGTCGTTTTTGAGATATGAGCAAAAATTGTCAGAAATGCAGTAATCCGTAAATAAAATGAATATTGTTTATTTGATTGTTTGCGCTTGTTTTCTTTCTGTTTTATGAAAAAGTTATCCAGTAGAAATTATACATTATATTACATTCTGCTCCAATCATCCCTTTTTATAACTATAATATCCTTTTGTCATACTATAATATAACATTTTTTCCAGACCTCATTGTGTTTGCCAGAAAAATTCCAAGAGGAAGTTCTACGCGTTTATTCAAAGAATTATGACAACATCGATGTTTTGAGGAAAGAAACAACTAAATGTTTCAAAAAGGTCGGGTTGGATTCGATGAAAATTTCAGAGATCGAACTGAAAAATCAGGGAAGTGCGGCACCCGAAACGGTTACTAAACACAAGTTAAATGCAGAAGGCAAATCTGGTCCCATTACAAGGTCAACCAAAAGGCAGCGCAAAGATTAACTTACAGAAGTTCATAATGTTAAGGATTAGTTGAACATGAACTATTGTTTTTCTTATCTTCTAATTAGTATACTCAATTCACTTTACTTATTCAAGCTTTAAATGTTAATCGATTTTTATATACATTAATTTCTTAGTCTATACGTGTTTTAGATGTATTTTTATTCACTTAATGAATTCATGTCAATACCAAAATCGAGATAAGTGAATCATAATTGTAATTCTTATTTACTGAAGTACGTTGAGTCATAATTGTAATCTAATTTAATAATGTGAAAAGGTTAGTTTTAATACATTATGATATATCCCTCTGTTTTAACATTTTTACATATAAAGTTACGACATGTTTGTTCATCATAGAATTAAAGCAGCCAAACTACAAAATTGATTTTAGCAATATCAAAGCACCACTCTGAAGTGACCAAGAAATGACGTAATTAGTCAAAATATTTTAAAAATCCACCATCTTCTACATATAGAAATGCCTGTACCAAGACAGGAATATGACAGTATGTTTTCTATTCGTTTGATGTGTTTTAGCTTTTGAATTTTCCATTTGTTAAAGGGCTTTCCGTTTTTAATTTTCCTTGGAGTTCGATATTTTTGTTATTTAACTTTTCATTTCATAATTTTAAATCATGCGATTGGTGTCAAATATACCACTATGCTCTTCAACTTCATACATTATTTCGCCTTTTAACTTTTTTTTATTCTAGCGTCACTTTTGGAGCCTTTGTAGACGAACCGAACGTCCGGCGTACAAAATTATAAGCTTGGTATCTTTGATGAGTTTTGTTCTATGCTTCATCTTTTTTATGTATTATATATTTGTTATCAGTGTATTGTGATATTTTACTAATTTTCCCTTAAAGAAGACCTCCAAATAGACTGTGATATGTTGCTCTCTTATAATTGATAAAGTGTTATTTTAATGGTTTTAAATTATTATTTCAGCCATTAATTGATTGAGTATTTATTTATAATTGTAATTTGATTTGTTCATCAGCATGATATCCATAAAAAGTGTTAATCCTATTGATTATGTTATATTACATTAAGAAACATTTTAAAACATTTAAAATCAAATTGGTTCCTTGGCGACAATACTAACATTTTCTAAATTCATCATTGTTTATAATAAAAACCTGGACAAAACAGCTTTGTATGATATTTGTACTTTATTATTCTGTTATGAAAATTGAAGTCAAATGGTAGCATGGCCATCTTCGAACGGAGCGTAGGTATGGTATCCATGCCCACCATCATTTTACATCAAATTTATGAAAATTTGGAAGCATTTTCGAACAATTATCAAGAAAATATTTAAATGTGTTAAAATTTATACTGTAAATATACACACTGCAGGTATTCATAAATAAATAAAAAATATATTGTACCGTTTAATCTAATCACAGCGCTCCTAAGTTGAATAATACCTGCCTTAAGTATACGAAAGGCCAACTTAAAGCCAGGAAAATGTAATACAACTTTTTTCCCCAATACAACATATCTAAATTATGCTTAGCACGAAGTCTTTATGTATTTTAACTGATATCAACACAGTGGTTAAAAATGAGGTAAATTACCTGTTTTTATGCTCATAACACGTATTTTTGTTACACTCGAAACCAACAGTTTGTAAAAGGTTTGAAGATAACAGCTTAAGAGACAAATTTCACTTTGGCCTTAAGAAGTAGCAATCAAAGAATTATTTAATTGATTTCGTTGAGACAACGCGTGTTTCATCGACTTTAGCCGTTATACAATTCAATAATATATAAACTTGATTTACAATCTAAATGTATCATTGACATCATGCTAGTACCAAGTACCAATGATACACATGCACCTGGTCGTATAGTCTACCAGTAGTGGCACTGACTTAGTGAAGTTGTATTTTTAAAAATTATCAAACGAACAGTTTTAGATACGCGAAAAAAGATAAGCGCGTGGCTACTAGGATTTCTAAAGACATGAAATGACTTTAGATTAAACCCATAATAAATATTACACCTATATACTTTCACGGTACTACAATCTGTCGATACCTATATTTTGGCATTGCACAAGGTCAAGTTTTTCTCTGACTGTTAATGACGTTTTTACACTAGATCCATTGGATGTTGGATGTGTACTGATTGATATTTTAGTCTTAGATACATGATTTTATTGGTTTTGAACTAGCTGTCAGTAACTGCGAGTACTCTCAGATCTGTACTTAGTGTCTTTTTTGTTGTTAGGGATGAGGGATGGATATATACCCTGCCACGTCCTGTTTGTTTGTTTTTTTTTATGTTTTTCTTTGTATCGATTTTATGAGTTAAGACTTTTCAACTGATTTTAAAGTTTGTTCTTATGTTGTGTTGTTACACCACTGTCCCAGGATAGGGGAAGGGTTGAGCGCTCACAAACATGTTTAACCTCGCCACATTCTTTATGTGCCTATCCCAATATAGGAGCCTGTAGTTCAGTGGTTGTCGTTGGTTCATGTCTGTCGTATTTGTTTTTCGTAAATTGTAATGTTATAAATTAGGCCGTTAGTTTTCTAAATTGAATTGTTTCATATTTTTCATGCCGGGGCCTTTTATAACCGACTATACGGTGTTTGTTTTTCTCATTGTTGAAGGCCGTACGGTTGCCTATAATATCTTACATCCACTTCATTTGAACTTTGGTGGATAGTTGTCTCATTGGGAATCATACCACATCTCCTTACTTTTATAATGATATGATAAACACAACACTCGCAGGTATTGCAAATTTGTAAATACCATAACAACTCAATGAACAAACAACAGTGATTGAGGTTTAAAAAGTAAAATAACAAAAAAAACCAAACTTCAAGGAAAATTCAAAACGGAAAGTCCTTTAACAAATGGCAAAATCAAAAGCTCAAACACATCAAACGAATGGAAAACAACTGTCATGTTCCTGACTTGGTACATACATTGCCTTATATAGAAATGGTGGATTAAACCTGGTTTTATTGCTAGCTAAACCTCTCACTTGTATGACAGTCGCATAAAATTCCATCATATTGACAACAATGTGTGAGCAAAACTAGAGACATAATAGCTACAAATATCAAAAATTGGGTCACAGCAGTCAACATTGTGTTATAATCTTTATCACTATAAAAACCAGTAACTATGTCAACAAAGAAAAAAAATGGCACGTAGACACTCTATAGACAAAGCACATTGGCAAAATAAAAGACAAGAATACAAAAAAATGACCATAGCACAATGGCGGGATGTATAAATATCGAGCCACGCCAAAAAGACAAATAGACTGATCAGTAAAGGTTAAAAATATACAAAGACAAATAAAACGAACACTATAACACGTAATAAGATAATAAACAACGACAGTACCTAAAATCTATAATTCAAGACCATCATGTATTATTTGTGAGGTTGATACGGAATATTTATCAACAGGATTTTGGTATCTTCCGATGATTTTTTTTTTTAGAAAAAGGACGAGATGTTCTTTGACATAACCCTGGTTCATCAACTTTCTGCTCAGACACTGGTGACGTTTTATAAAGTCTAAGTAGCAGCTGAAAGCTCTTGAGTACCGAACGAGTTGGAAAATGTATATGCCATATACAGGTGAAGTTGGTATATTGATGGTTAGGTTGGTAATCCCTTTCTTGACATGTTTACTAAGAATATATTCCAATGGCATGGGGAGCACCGTTGAATTGAACGAAGTAGCCAAATCATTCACGCAGTCAAATTCAAGCAGAACATATTCTAGCACATCATTATTTTGATATAGCTTACATTAACAATAACAAGATCTAGTCCACAATCTATTACAATACGAAAAGAGTACTTTTATTATCAATATTATTATTGTTACTGTGGATTCATTTATTTTCGTTGGTACCAATTTTCGTGGATTGAGAAAAGCTGGCCCTTTTGTGGATATTTGATTTCGTGATTTTGATAAATTTTGCATATATTCATAAAGAAAATGTGTTAATTCGTTGAATATTTGAATTTGTTGTTCCCCCGTACCTACGAAATCCACAAAATTGGTAAACTAAAAGCAATTGGGAATTCACAGTATTATTATTAAAATAATTGTTTTTTTTAATTTATTTATCTATTTGTTTTGTACAGAAAATCACTTTTTCATACGGGAGAGGAGATAACAATCCAATCACCTCAGTATACTTTTATAAAAAAGACAATGATATAGAATGTTTTACAGGAAAATCGTCGAAAAAGGTATTGTTTATTACATAATTTTTGTTTTTTGATAAACTACTCATTTACAGATTGTCTATGCTTGATTTTTTTTTGTTTATGTCCTTGTTCATTGCTTTAAAGTAATTATGTATAATTCCCTGCACTGAATATGACATTCAAAATTTAATTCTCCATCATCTATCCTTCATTGACGTCTATGTGAATAAGTTGGTAATATTTGTTTATGTCGCAAAGCAAGCAGAATTAAAATCATCTATTTTTTTCATTATCATTCAGTTGTTTTGAATTTTGAATTATTTGTGATTAATAAATATCCACAGAAGAGAGGTGAAAGATACCAAAGAGATATTCAAACTCATAAGTCGAAAACAAACTTACAATATCATGGCAAAAAAGGAAAGACGATTAAAAGACAAATAACAGTATACAAAACACAACATAAAAAACTGAAGACTGTCGTGTAGCTCATGTAAGATCAAACCCGGTCTAACTCGGTAGGTTACATTCGTGGACTAGACGACGGAATTATGGTTACGACAATTGGAAATATATATGTTGTCATCTGTGAAACAGATATTCCATAGCGGTCTTGTTATTCGGTTGTCTGTATAATTAAGTTGTAAATGTCATGGTTAAAACTCACCAACTATACCAGGTTTATAATTTGGTACGGCATACGAACGTTTCGTGAAAATCAGACTGATCAGTGACACGCATATTAAAACAGTTGGATGGCCAAATCAAAAACGAAGTTCAAAAGCCTAAAAAAAAACGAAAATTTCGAAAGATGTGCCAAATACAGCTAAGGCCATCTTTGTGCCTCTTAGAAAAAAAAAAACACTTTAGTGTTTCAAACAATTTAACATTTTACAAACAGTAAATTTACAAAACAATTGAACATGTCAATGATATTTCATATCACTACAAAAGTGCTAACTACTGGGCTGGTGATAACCTCTGTGACGAAACTTCCACCAGCAGGAGCATCGACAAAGTGGCTGTAAAAACTCAAGCCGCGTATTTCGTCTACATAAGACTTGTCAGTGAGGCTCGAATTAAATCAGTTTGAAGGGCATTATATGTCAGCATTCTTTTCTCCTATGATCAATTTTTTTTCCAGACGTCTCTTTTCCTGCCATCTGAAAACTTTTAGGAGGAAATTATTCGCGTGTAATCTAAAAATGATTCGAAGTTCGCAGTTGTTATGAAAGAAACAGAGAAATGTCTCGAGACAATTAAAGCAAGGGAGGAACGTACATTATCTGAGAGATCCGAAGAAAAGATGTAAAACAGGGATACATATTTACTTACTAGTCTTACATTGATAAGTCCTTATTACAAATAGACAAATTGTGTTTATCTGTTTAAAATGTGAAAACAAATTATAATTTTATTTTCAATTAATGCGCGATGTTTATTAAACTAATAAATTTGTAAAACAGAGATTCATATAAAAAAAATCAGCTACCGACTATTCGTAAATATGATAGAATCCTAATGATATAAGATAGAAAGATCAAAATCCTTTACTCCCAAAGCAGCAGTGTGTCAAACATCGTATGACACCATAGAAAGAGGCAGAGAGAAACAATAATGGAATGGATAGTAATAAGCTAGTAATAAATGTATTCACTTTTTAATTGTACAACAATAACCATAAAATGACGTGTAGTCATATCATTGTTTAAGCTCTCTCTGAGAGACCGACAATTACCCTGTACGCGATCAATTTTCAAAGCAAGAACAATAAGGACGTCTGCGATGTAGATGCAGTATTTCCCTGTACAAACTTAAATAAACATAGCAGTAGACGCT